GCCGCTCTGTGTCTGCCTAAGCTAACGGGGCACGGACACACGCGACGGGAACACACGACGGGCACACGCGCCGGGCACACGCGGACGGGCACACGCGACGGGCACACGCAGGTGGCCTAGCGACCACAGACAGCGGCGTTGAGCGGGGAACGCTGGGAGCTGAGGTCCAGGCCCGACCCCCCCAGGCTGACCGACGCCCTGTGCGTTTCGTCACCGCCCGAAGGGAGAGGAAGCCCTGGGCGGTGAGCCGGAGGGTCGGGGTCCTGCCTCCATGTTGACGCCCCCTTGTCCTTGCTCAGGTCACCCACCCTCTGACACCAGCTCGGTGTCTCGCAAGTCAGTTCCGTTCTGACACCGTGGATGCTGCGGGTTAAGAGCAGGGTCCTCCGCCAACGGCGCTCTCCGCAGCCGCCAGCACAAGACCCGGGCCCGCCCGCGGTCATGACCGCCAACGGCACGCTCGGGGGTCTCCACAACTCCTCCAGGCTCCATAATGTGCTAGAGCGGCTGGTAGACCTGGCCGAGGGAGCGCAGCAGGGCCGGGAGGGGAGCGTGGAGCCCTGGGGAGCTGACGCCTGGCCCCGTCCGTCCCGGCCCCGTCCTGGCCCCGGCCACCCAGCTTCCCGGTGGACTCGCTACGTGTGAGGCCCGGCCTGGCGCTTAGGCAGCTGGAGCCTGCTCCTTGTCCAGACTCAGGGCATGGTCTGGGTGACCCTGGGCTCGTGAGGACAGGCCGGCTGCGCCCTGGCGGGGAACCCCGCAGACAAGCGGGAGCCCCTCGGGAGTGTGCGTGTCATCCAGGGAGGGCGTGTGCCCAGTCCGGGGCTGGCAGCTGCAAGGTGCTGGAGGCTCTGAGCAGCACCTTGGACGCTTGGTCTCCACAAATCAACGGCTGCGCTGAGCCGCGGGCTGCACGGTGAGGCCTGGGGGCCGCTCCAGAGAACCGAGAGGACCGTGCACATTCAGGTGCTGGGCCTGAGAGGGGCCAGATGTGAGGCGGCCCCAGGAGGGCATGGAGCCAGGCGGGGCTCCCCGCTGCTCCCCTACGTTTCTCTCCCTCCTCTCCTTTCTCCCTCCTCTCCTTTCTCCCTCCTCCCTCCCTCCCACTCCTGGAGGTCTCAGGCACTTCCAGGAGCAGAGTCAGGGCTGATGGTCACTAAGGCGCGGGCTTTGGGACCCAAAGCGTCTCTGTTGGGCGTGCGGGCTCACGAGGCCACTGGAGGGGTAGTTGACATCGGCCTTTGAGGAAGCTCTAAGACCCAGACCAACAGCAGACGTGAAAACATGCGCGGCCGCGAACACGGTCAGGTGGCGTTGGTGTACCCTGCTCCTGTCCATCTCCGACGCCTGGTGTGTGCGGAGCCGGCCACGGCCCTGAGGTTCCTCGCGGCCCCTGCCCCCACCCGGGAGCAGTTCCCTAACGAGCATCCTGCTGGCTGGCCCCATGCAGGAAGGCCGGTGGGGTGGGGGCGCCCGGCACCCAGCACCCAGCCCGGGCACCCACGCCGTCTTGTCTGCCCCGGGGCGTCCCGAGGGTGGCACTCTTCACGTTCATCTCCCTGAGCACCCGGTGCTCAGGGCGCCTGCTGGTGGAGCTGATCCCAGACGCGCCCCCGTCCAGTGCCGTCCACAGCCTCCGGAGTTTCGGGGAGAGACCCGTGCTCCAAGGTCAGCGTCAGACCACCGGCTCCGCCGCTCGGCTCTAGACGGGGAAGTGGGTTCTGGCCGCAGCTCCGCCCGACGGGCCATCTGACGTTGATGATGCTGCGGGGTGGAGGCGGGCGGAGGAAACGGGACTCGTGGTTTGGTGCTCGGATGGGCAAGGCCGACTTCATGCCGTTCTCAGCCGGGACTGCAGGGGGCGCACCCAGGACGCCCTGACCCTCCAGCCCACGCTCGAGCAGGGTGAAGTGTGAGATGAGGCCAAGGCAACTGAGGCCCAGAGCACTGACCCCCGAGGCCGAGCCCACCGGACAGGCCGGCAGAGCTAACGCCCTCTCCAGCTGCGGCTGCGCCGGCTCATGGCCTCGGCCAGCACTGTTCGTCCACATATGCGCTGTCTGCCTTGTTATCTGTTCCTTTAAAACCGGCTGGCCTCCCAGTGCCCTAGGCCACTGGCCCAGCCTGGCGTTTCCTGAGCTCCCACCCCCACACCGTGCTCCCCTCGGGCTGGCCGCCTCCTGACACTGCCCGTGGCCGGCCCACAGGTCCCTCTGCGCGTTCGACCGGTGCTGGTGGAGGAGCCGTGCACCCCGACGTGGAGCTGGGGGTGCAGGGGAAAACAAGCCGACCACATCCCGGCCCTCACGGAGAATTCTGTTTAAAGGAAACTGTTGGGTCTTAGAGACCAATGAGTCCCCAGAGAAGGAGCGGCTGGGCGGCGTGGGTGGGCAGTGGCGGTGGGCGGTGGGGGCGAGTAGCGGGCGGTGAGTTCGCACTGGGGCAGGGCAGGTGAGGAGGAGGGAGGGGTGAAGGGGTAATGTTGGGGTACACATCCCCCGAAGAACTATGTTTCCTGCTGGGCCCCAGAAGCTGGTGTCCTCCCGCTTCCCTGTGGTCACCAAGAAGCTCAGCCCGTCCGGCCCGTCTGGCGGCCCATTCAGCCATCACCCACCGGTCACCCACCTTGCCAGCCTGCCTCTTGCCTCGTCGGCGTCTGCTCCCCGCGTGTGAGTATTCACCACCCGGCGGGCTGTGCCTCGTACCACGGGTGCTCACCCTGAGGAGCACACTCATCCACGAGACAGAGCCGCGTCCCCAGGCAATTCGGGAGTGACAGCACTTTGTGATTTTTTTCCTGGGGACTCAGGGATTTAAATTTGAACCGAGACAAGGGACAGTGCCCCCTGGGACGTGAGCAGGGAGAGTACTTGGTAGTGATGGTGACGTGGAGCTGCGCGGGGCCGGGGGCGGGGTGCAGGGGGCTGTCCAAGGCCAGCTGGGTTCACGGGCACGTTCCCAGTCCATGCCGACCGCAGGCCCCTCTGAAACAGGGACGCTGGGCAGGACGGATGCAGGGCCTGCAGCCTGGGGAAGAAGCTCGATGCCTCAGGCTCAAGGAAAACGAGAAGAGCCAGCCATGGCCAGAGAGGGCGGGGAGTGTGTGCGTACATGTGTGTGCGTGCGCGTGTGTGTACATGTGTGTGCGTGCGCGTGTGTGTGTACATGTGTGTGCGTGCGCGTGTGTGCACGCGTGTGCACGTGTGTGTAAATGCAGACGCTGGACAGACACTCCACCGACGTCTGCACCTTTGGTCACCGGCACCCTTAGGCCCACTCAAGCTTTCATCGTAGAATTTCGCCGGGACATAGTGCAACCCACGACACCTAGCTTGAGGATGCTCGGGCGACTTACGATTAGTACAGGGGAGGGAGACCGGGTGTCCCTAACACTGAGGAAGAAGCCTTTCCTCGCCCTCGTCCACAGTGAGTTACTATCCCGTCTTTCGGTTTGGTCGAAATCCAGCATGTACACTACTGTGACCGTCAAAAGAAAACGCAGAGTTTGACTCGATGTGGATATTTCATCGTGTGAGAAGCAAACCGCTTGAGAACAAGACTTCCAGACGGATCAGGGAGCTCAGCCCTGAGTTCACAGCTCGGTCGACCGCACGGGAAGAGGGGCGCCCGGTTTTCTGCCGGGATTGGTCATTAGAAGCTCACACACCCGCTTCCTTGGCAGGAGCTCACTGGCTGGCAACCCCCAGTCTCCCTCCCCTTTCCTCGAGGAAAGCCCGAGCTGCGTTCCGGGTCAGAGTCGGCATCTCGGGGACAGGCTGAACTTTCGGTTCCGTCACCGCGTTCGGTTTAGGGGCGTCGCCGCACCGCGGCCACCAGTTTCCTTATTTCTTTTTGACCCGACAAAGGCCAAGGTTCTTCGCGACGGAAGCTGCTGTGTAGGTCCTCACGCCCTTGTCTTTTGCGTTCGTTTGTCGTTGACGTGCTCCTTCCCGCGACATGTGCCTTCGTCGTGGAGTCGGAGCCCCTATTTCTAGGACACGGTTCCTCCCGCTTCCTCCGCGTCGTCCCCTGTTTGGCTGGAGCGCGTCCTCCAGTCACGTCCCGAGGACAGAACAGGAGGCCAGGCAGACGTTTCAGAGTCTTCCTGTTTCAAATGTCTCTGGGCCCCTCACAATCCATCACTGCTTCGGCTGAGTACAGATTTCCAAATTAGACATCGTTTCCACTTCGGATTTTGAACTAATTACCCACCTCCCCCACCCCAAGTGCTGGAGGGCCGTGGCCCCCCAAAGCAAGCATTCCCCCCGCCTCCACGCTCCTGAGGTGGTTGATTCGGTGGAAGGCGATCGTGAAGAGCTCATGCTAAACGCTTATTAGACTTCTCTCTCCGTGAGCATTTTGTCGGAATTGTAAGATGAAACACAATTTCCAGATGCCCCTGGGGACTGCATCTATAGAAACTCGGGGGGCAGATGTGTGCGGAGTGAGTGTGGGGGTGACCTCCGAGGGAGCCGGGTCAGGCCGGTGCATATCTGCGAGGGACCGGTAAGTGACAATGAACGGGGCTGTGCTTCTGCCAAGAGAAGGTCTTACAGCGCAGGGCTGCTCACCGCTCCTCAGAGAGGACTTCTTAGACTGACGTTTATTTACATGTTAGGCTCATAGGAGAAGGGGCTGGAAAGGTTGGGAGAGGAAGAAATATTGCCATCGTCAATTGTAAGTTATCAAACATTTTCGTTCAAACTCCCCTAACAGCTCTGTGATGGGATTTTCAAAGGTACCTTGGGTTTTTGATGATTTTTGCACACGACCTAGTCTAGGTTTATATTTTAATGCATTTTAAAAGTAAATATTTGTTCGTTTTTACAATGCTTCACTTTATTATTTCTGGTTCCTACAAAACAAAAACAAAAAAACTGAAACCAAACAGAAATAGACTTAATAAAAACGAAGGAGGACCGGGCAGAAAGCAAGGTTAAAGCCACCTTCGCAGACCTGGGACCACAGACTGTCCTGGAGTTGAGCCTCACGTCTGCTCTCAGGTTCCTGACGGCCCAGCAGAGGTGACACCACCAGCAGCCAGTTCCTGCCACTGTGTGACAAGAGGCCACTGGGGCCTCCAACGCCACAGTCCGGCCGCCTCTTAGGTCTGATGAAAGTATTCCGTGGCGGTTGCCACTAGGGGGCGCCCACAGTAAGAACCGCAGCAGGTTTGAGAGGGGGTTCCAGGCGGTGTCCCCGTGAGCAAGCTGAGCGCCCAATCCAGGGACAGCGGGGCTGTAGCCCCAGACAAAACATGCCCCGTGTGATAATCCAGCAGGGAACCCAAAGTGCGAAGTAGAAAGGGCTGAGCTGGGGGCTCTGGCGTCTCTGTGGGAAGAGACAGGTGCCCCGGGAAAGTATGGGATCACATCTCACCAGAAGCAGACAGGAAGAAAGTTCTAGAGCAGCTAGGGAACCTTGTCTCTCTGACCCACACTGAAGACATCCTTTTGGAGAGGACGGCCCCTTAAACGGGCCAGCTCGTCACAGCAGCCATGCTTCCTGGAAAGAGAGAAGAAAGATGCCTTTGTGAGACCTGTGGAGCCACAAACGCACCTTGAGTCCGATGAACTTCCTCTTAAAAACTGTTCCTTTTATTTTCAGGTATGACTGGGAAAGTGACAGCAACACAGTATTTTCATATGTATAAAGGTGGTAAGAAAACTCTTTTCCTGTTAAAATTTTTATGAATGATAAAGATAAATTAAGATTTTAAAAAACCACACAAACAAAAATGTTAAACATTCTTATTTTGTCTACTCAGAAAATTGCCAGATCCTCATTTGAGTATTCTAGAATGGTCGCCCATAAGTCCTTAGTCTCTAATCGAGTTCGTACGATAAAATTTGAAGGCATCATCTAGAACATTTCTTTTCTCTAATCACAGTTGTCCTGGATCTTTTCCTTCTGTTTCTTCATTGGATAAGGAGAAAGAGAAAATATATTTCAGTCAAATATGTGAAAATTAATGCAATCAGAATTACTGTCATGTGTCCGGACCCCACGGGCTGGGTGCACCGTTCCTGCACCCCACCGAGCCTCCGTCAGTGTTCCCGCCACTGCATCTTGGCTGCATTTGTATGTCAGGCTCTACCAGCCCTTTCCATTTGTATTTGACACTAAGAGTCACTTAAAACGAGTCTCTGTAAAGATAATGGGGAAGAGTAATAAGGAAGGCCTGGGTGCGACTTTGTAGCAATGATGTATGTAACTTAAGTGTCACGATGCATTTAACTTAAGTGCAGCTAACTTAAGTGTAACTATAAATAACAAACCCCAGTGGAGAATAGTGGAGGTCGAGATAAACCTTTCTCTCTTTTCCTGTAAGGCGCTGGTAGGTCTTTCGGCAAAGACTTGCCTGGGCCAGGTCAGGTCTGTACCCCTCCGTGTTCCCCACCTCTCTGTCTGGTACACCAGTGCCTGGGCTGTTCTGATCCAGTACGTCCAGCCACGCGGGGTCGGGCATCCTTCGTGATTGCAGAGAATACCACCCATGCCCCCTCGCCCCCGCCCGCCAGTCTGCCAAACTCGTTGCTGGTCTCAAGTTCAGACAAGAGAATCTTTATGATCTGATCATGCTGCTCACCTCAGATGCTCCCGCCGTGGAAGCCCAGTGGCCATTTACTAGTAAAGACCTAGAGAGCCATTTGCATGGCCGGGAGATGAGCTCTAGGCATCCGGGGACTCAGAGTGGACACAGACGCTGAGGTTAGAGGCAGCACAGCACGTAGGGCGAGCGTCAGCGAACAGCGATCCTAACTCTGGTTTGCATCGACCCGACAGATAACTCTGGATCGATGACAAAGTTCATTCGGGATGCTCCTGAGAAGTCCCGGCTCTTCATGGTGACCCATGATGATGGCAGCAGCAGGTGAGTGTGTGCAGCGTTGTCATGGCGATGGGGGTGGGAAGAGCAGCCAGCTGGGCAGAGAGAGCCTGGCCTCCCCAGGTCCCTCAGTGCACCCTCGAAGGGAAAACAGGACCCCAAAGAGCGAGATGCTTCCTTAAGGAAAAGGCAAGCAGATCACGACAAAGCAGACTACATTCCTATAAGCGTGATCAGCTAGTGGGCGCCTTGTACTAGAAGCCAAAGAAGATGTCCAGGTCACAAAACAGAGCCACCGCCGAGCACAGTTAGAATAGCACAGCCAGGAAAGCCACATCCGTGGTGACACTTACAGAAATGTCTTAGAGAAAACGTCTCTATTTGAGGAGACAAGAAGGAAGTGCGCACGCGCGCGCGCACACACACACAGACACACACACAGACACACACACACACATACACACACACACACACACACACACACTCATGCAGTGCCTTCCCCAGGGAGAAGCTAAGCTGATCGAGCTCAGGGAGTTTCCACCTGCGCCCTCCCAAGGAGGCCTGTGTCTTCACTGCCAAACCGCCAAGACCCTCCGTGCGCTCGTTTGCATGACCTTGAATTTGCAAGATGAGGCTCCTGAACACAGCATTTTCCAGATTCATTTGACCTCGGGTTTTATTTTTTGTAATAGAGTTTCATACTAGACAGAAGTTCTTTGACACATATTTGGAAAAACTCTGATGTCACTTGTTCTGAAAAGTCTGAACTTGTTTCTTTCTTTCCCTCTGGCCCTTCCTCAGCTCACGCTAAGTGGCATCTCTGACAATGGTTGAAGTGTTTTAGGTTTCTTTTCCTTTTTTGATAGACTTTTCTGAATATGAAAGGGATGGTTTAGATCTGTGATTTCATTTTCCTGTAAGGACTTCGGCTTCCTTATTTTGTGGTCAGTAAACAATGAGTCATCATGGACTGGAAATCGTATTAGCTGAGTGTCAGGCGTGATTGAATCTGAAGACACGAGGGCTTTTCAGAGCTCAGAGTTAAAGCCCTGCGCCCAAAATTGAGTCTTAACGAGTCCTGGATGGGGTCACACATTTCCCTGGAAATCTGACATACTTCAGCAGCGTGCGTGGCCTTTTCCTCCTGTGTATACCCAAGGAGTGACTTGCTTTAGAAACCTCTGTCGTAAGACCGGCACCGTGTGGCACACCGGAGTCCCCACACGAGACGCTCTCCCCTTTGCTCCCCAGACCGAAGCAGGAGGCCAGAAGGGCATAGCGGCACTCGGCAGTAAGGAAATCAGGAAGGTGAAGTTTAGGCCCAGCTGAGTGTTTCTTGTGGCAAAAGGCTTTGAACTTCCTGCCGGAACCCAGAGGGAAAAGGTGAGCCGTTCGTTTTATGTAGAGTTGACATACGATGTTACATGAGTTTCAGGTGTACGATCCAGTGATTCGACGTTACATACCTTACAACGTGGTCACCACATGGCCGTCTCCAAACACATTTCCGGGCAGGTGCGTGCCACGCGGGGCCAGGTGCAGGTGGCCGCCGGGGACCGCACGCTTCCGCACTCAGGATTCTGTGCCTGAGGGTCCTCGTTCCTAAATCTGGGATGAGCCGCAGCTTCCGCCCAGCAGGAGCGTGATGGGCCGTGATAGGGACAATGTTTATCATAAGAGGGTTGGAAGCCTTCTCACTCAATCGGCGGCGGAAAGGCACCTGACCGAAGTTTCAAGTATCAAATTTCTTTAGAAGTGGAAGGTTCCGAGTGAGCCATGGGTGTTGATTTTCCGTCACACCGCAGCATAGCTGACGCCGTCTGTCTCAAGTCTGGGGACGGTCACAGTACTTCCCGTGAAGGCGATTCCGATTGACCAAGCCCACCCACGCGAAGCGCTTAAAACAGGGCGGGCACCAAACGAACCCTGGACAAACGCAGCTTTCACGGTAGGTGTCGTCGCGACCTGTCGCATGATGGATTTGAAGTCCCTCCCACTCTGTCCTTTCTTTATCGATGAAAAGTAAACCACAAAAGGATGAAGTTCTAACGCATTTACGGAGCCTCCTGTGACGATTCCAGCTGCGCGTTGGCACAACGTGGTAGGACCCATAAGCTGACGCCTCTGGGGACGATGGCACAGCTTCTTTCAGAGGGTGCTGTTCTCCAGGAGCTGGTGCTGAAACGCAGGCTCGGGAGAGGAGGGAGGGCCGTGGCCCAGGGGCGAGGGCACCGCCCATCCGTCCTCGAGGGAGAAGGGTCTTCCTTCCACAAGCCAGAGTTTCCACGGGGGCAGAGATCCAAATGTCTCCAGGTCTGCCACAGGCGGCGTATGACCTCGGGCTAGGACATTCGGCCCCCGTCCCCTCCTTGCTCCGTCTGGCACGGTGATGGGTGGGAAGGACGACAGACAGAAGCGGGTGGGCGGCTGGGTCTCGCCCTGTTGGCAGGATCTCCCCAGGTGAGGAAGCTCGTGACCGACACCCGCGGGAAGCCCTAGAGCCACCCCGATGCCCTCTGTCGAAGCCCTTTGAGGCTGGGAATCCGTAGTTATGTTAGCATGCGTCTAAAAAGCCTGTTTTCCCCTTGTAACTCCCATGTCTTCCACGGCCAGGAAGCCAGTCCTGCAGAACTTGTCAGGAGCGTTTACCCAGGGCCCCCGCCTAGACCACTGATTTCTGATGATCGGGTCTGGACGCCCCGTGTCCGCCTGAGACCCGGCCCTGTGGGCTTGCCCTAATGAGTGAGGCATTCCCTGGGCTCTGGGTCATGGTGCCCCCTGGGCCACCACCGCCTGGCCCTGCAGGGGAGTGAGATGCGGCTCAATGTCCAACGTCGGGTC